CCCGAGGACCCCCCCGCAAGGAAAGGGGCCGCGCCATCGACGTCCTGCCCCCCACTGGCTCCAGGCTCTGCAGGAGAAGCCGAAGGCGCGGATGGAGCAGGCCGACGACGCCGCACCGCCATTCCCGTGAGCCCCGAAGGCCGCGTTTCGGTGGTTCAAAGATGAGGTCCTGAGGGATGGGGGCCTAAGGATAGGTAAGAAGGGGTCCAAAGGGGGATCTGTGGCTAAAAATAGGCCCGATTTAAGGATGGGTCAGAAGGGATCCAAGGGTAGGCATCCGTCATATGGAGAACCTCGTGCTTAAGCTCCCACCCCTCAGGAGACCATCTTTGAACCACTGAGCATTGCTCGGCGACACCGACCGCCGACGCTCGGCGACAGAGGCCTGTGGCCGTCGCCGCCTGCACCGCCGCCAGCGACGTGGCCGACCCATACGGGCGCAGAGCGGGGCCCGTCTCCTTCATGGCCATGGCCGCCCGAGCGAGTCCGGGCGACGCCGCTCTCCAGCAGGGCGCCGGCCAGGAGGTGTTTCTGCGTTTTCTCTACTCTCCTCCTCCTCCTCCTCCTCTTCCTCCTCCTCCTCATCATCATCATCCTCATCATCATCATCATCATCATCATCATCATCATCATCATCATCATCATCATCGACATCATCATCATCATCGTCATCATCATCATCATAATCATCATCATCATCATCATCATCATCTCGTCAACATCATCATCTTCCTCCTCCTCATCATCATCAGCATCATCGTCATCATCATCATCATCATCATCATCAGCATCATCATCATCATTTTCCTTTTCCTCCTCCTCCTCCTCCTCCTCCTCCTCCGCTATTTCCGCTATTTGCCGCGCCATGAAGGTCGGTGCCTTGCAGCGCCACTCGGCGGCCGAAGCCGCCGCCAGAGGAGGGGGGGGGAAGGCCCGTCCCGCCCAGGCGCGCGGGGCGGCGGAGGAGCGGGGGCCAGGCCTGGCGACTCTACGAGCAGAGGCGCTAGAGGACCCCGCCAGGAGGAGCAGGGGAGCCTGCCTGGGCCAGGGGAGGAGAGGGGCGGGGTCCAAGGGCCAAGGCGGCAGTCCGAGGGCCTCCGAGAGAAGGGGGGGAAGGGCCACACGGGGAAAGGGAGGGGGAAAAGCCTCGGACTGCCTCGAGATGCCGAATTGGGATGGGGCCCGTCGCGCTGCCGCCCAGGATATCCGCCCAAGTCCAGCAGCTTATCCATACCTGGGCGGCAGCGCACAGGCGCTGGGACCAGGTGGGCAGAAGGCCCACCTGGTGTGCCTCCCCCTAACCCCATCCAGAGCCAGAAGGCCAACGACAATGAACCCCTGGGAAGGCCATGAATAAGGGAGACAGTAGGGGGGTTAAGGGGGAGGCACCACATTACGGTCCCTAGGGACCCCTTATGTCGCGGCCCCCTCAGGCGCCGTTGGCCGCGAGCTCGCCGAGCCTCGAGAGCCGCGCCTCTCCCTGTGGTACTCGGCACCGTCGTGCTGGTCGAAGTGGCGGTACTTGTCTCGGCATGATGGACCTTCTCCATTTGCTCCATTCACTCCATTCAACTCGGCATCGCTGATCCAGTGGTCGTTTGTCTCGGTGATGGCAGGCTCTTTGTACTGGGCTCGGTCGCCCTGGTCGGGTGGAACTGTTTGACTGTGTTGGGCTCAGGCTCCTGGTACTCGACTCAGCCGATGAGGTACTTGTCGTGCTGGTTACAGGTCGTTGGGGATCGGGTTGTTGCTGGTAGGTGGAATAGGTTGTAGGCGCACTCAGGCCTCCATGCACCGACTTCAAGTAGGGTTCTTGGCGGCCCCACCTCGTCCCGCTATGGCTAGGGGTCACAGTGCCCTCGGTGGGGGCGAACCCCAGGCCCAGTGATTCTTCTGCTGTCGATGAGGAAGGTCTACGCTGCCCTATGCTTCGCCCTTGGGCGCTCGGGAGCTCCATCTCCGCCATGGGAATGGTGGGGGTGGCGAGCTAGGGCGGACCGCGGGGGCGCGGGCAGTTCTCGTCCTGCCCCCCCCCCCTGCCCCTCACCATCCCCCCTGGTAGGCGCGGGCAGTCCTCGTCCTGCCCCCCCGCCCTTCGAGCCCGTCTCGAAGTTTGATCCTTGCCTCACCAGGGCAGCGTTGACTCGTACTTGGTGTAGTTGGCATGTAGTCTGGCTGGTACCTCTGAGCCCTGGCTGTACGGCGGCCGTGTCCATCACTGCTACAAAACGTGGCGACGTGTGCCTGGGGTGTTCCCTCGCATTCGGGGCTTCCCCAGGACTTGCGCCCTGACAACTCGTGCAAAACTTGGCGACGTAGCCTGAGGTATTCCCTCGCACTCGGGGCTTCCTCAGGACTTGCGTCCTGACCCTTTTGTACTTGTCGTCAGGGCACTTCGTCGCGATCCGCGTCGTCAGCCTGTGCTCGAACAACTCCCGTCGAGTTGGCGGTCCTGCCCATTGCCTTGTCGGGTCGGTCCTGCAGGGCCCACTCCCTCGCCTCCTCCAACCAGGTCGGGGCGCCCCCTCGCCTCGCTGGGCCACGGTGGTAGTCCTGACCCATCTCCCTGGTCTTGTAGCGGTCGAGCGGCTGGAAGAAGTGAGCCACGTCGCCGTCGATGTGCCATCCGTGGAAGTCGCTAGGCGACTCGCCAAAGCGCCACCTTATCTGCTTCGCCAGTGCGGTCGCGATGGCCTGGCACAGCCTGTGCGGGTACTCCTTGGCCGCCGCGGTGCGCCACTGGCCGTCGTCGTTGATGCCCGCCAGCTCCGCGTGGTAGGAGGCCGCGTGGAAGCACCTCCCGCCTCCAGGCAATCTGCTGATTTCTGCTCGGAGGGTCGGTAGGGATACCGCCAGCAGGCTTGTGGACTTCCTCGAACGCGCTCCACAGGTGCACTGGTCGAATGTGATCAGCTCGACTCCCTGCTGGTCCAGGAGGTGGCGCGTCTCGGGGAGCCTCCAGGAGCTGGCGAAGTGCTCCTCGGTGGGCTCGCACGGGTGCTCGAGCATGCCTGGGACTCCAAGGTTGAGGCACATGTACATGAGCTCCAGCTGTGTCCTGTATAGGCGATTTCCTATCGCGACTTGCTCCATCTCTGGACGGGAAAGGTAGCGAAGGCCCCACAAGCTGTTGCTGCTTCTTAGGGGTCTTGGTGGGCGACCCCTGCAGTCATTGGGGGGCAGGTGGCGCGCTCGGCTCCAGGTCTCGCACGGCGGTCCGCCGATGACTCCTGCAATCCCCCCTGCTTGTGCCATGCCTCGCCACTTGTTGACTGCGACTTCTGATGTCAGGTCGCCGAAGGTCGGGTCATTGGCGATGTCCAGGCTGAGCATGTGTATGTCGCATGAAGCCCGACTGCTGAGACGGTCGAACCAATCCTGAACATCTCCCTCTCGGCGACGGCCGCTGAACAGATGCAGCACGTATAGAGTCCGAGCTGGCCTGGGCCTGGGTACAGCAGCTGGCGGCGGCGGTGGCTCCTCGATGAAGGGAAGCTCGAGGCTCTCGTAGTGGCCGCCGTTGCTGTCGTCGCTGTCCTCGTCCGTGTGTATTTCTGGAGGACGAGCAGGGACTGCAGGCTTCTCTGCCCAGTCGATGGGCCTGCCCGCCCTTCTGTTCGCCTGCTGCTGGTCGCGCACCACTTGCTGGTTGTGCTGCAGCTCGGCTTTGCTGAGGAGTGCTGGACGTGTCTTTCGCCAATGTCGAGCGCACCTGCGCACTCGCAGCAAGTGCTTGACCAGCCTGTTTGTGGTGTTGTAATCCATGCCGCATCCGTAGCAGACCGAACCAGTTGCCCACGAGATAGGATGACCCGACGAGGTGTGGTCCTTGGTGATGTGGGCTCGTAGCACTGCTGCGCTGAGTTCAGTACGTCCGCAGTGGTAGCATAGGTACTTGCGCTGCTGCTCGAAGTGCTGGTCTGGGAAGGGCGAGATGGCTTCCGTGTTGGTCCACCGCTGGAGTCGTAGCCGCCATCGAGCGTGGTAGTCGTGATCGTACTGGCGGGCTTTGCCACGTTGGCAAGCTTTCTTGACTGCGCTGAGGTAGCTTTTGTAGTCGTTCCTGGCCCAGTCCTTCCAGTCTTCGAGCGTGTATGCTCCACCACGCTCGTCAGGTCCTGTGTGGTCGCGGACCCAGTCTAAGTCGCGGCGGAGCAGTGCCACCCAGCCGTAACGACCATCCCATGCTTGGCTGAGTAGTCGGCGGAGGTGCAGGGGTCCCCAGTTGAGGCATCTACCGAATAGTCGTAGCCGCTCAAGACGTAGGGCTATCTCGGGGGGCAGCTTGTTTCGAGGATCTGGGTGTTCGTGACCTCCTTTTTCTGTCGTGCTTTCCAAGTGATCCTCTGCGCGGCAGCGTAGTTCACGATATACTGGTTGTTGAAATTCCTGGCCTGGCCTGCTGTGAGTTCAGGCCAGGTAGACGCATTGTATAGCAGCTGGGATAGCACCACACTGTCGGCTAGGTAGGCCTTGTCCTTGATGGCCAGCTCTGAGCGACGGTGGACTTCGCGATGGAGAGGCCTCGTGGATGTCGCAGCGGTGGCTACCTTCACTGCGACATCCACCCCAGGGGATGCATTGTCGGTTACGTAGGTCCCGAGGAGCTTGTGGTGGCGGACAACCTCGACGCAGCTCCCTGCGAGAGGGACCTCGATCCTCGGCACTCCATTGGAATCGAAGCTGGCCCGAGCTTGCCGGCTCCCAGGCCCACTGAAGTCGATCATCACCTTGGTCTTGGTGAGCTGCAGCTGGAGGCCGAAGGTGCTGGTGGCGCAGTAGACGGCTTCGCAGAACCCCGTGGCCTCGGACTGAATGTGATCGGGGCTGGTGAACACGTGCATGCCCGTGAGGTCGTCGACGAACGATAGGCCGTGAGGTTCGTGCTCCTGGAGTGGTCCGTCTGTGGGGTCGGTGTCGCATGCGAAGCTGCTGTCTAGGGGCTTGCCCTGGGGTCTTAGCCCTCGCTGCGCAAGGTAGCTGTCAATCATGCGGTGGACTCGGCCGAAGAGCAGATTGAAGTCCGCGTCGGCTAGGGGCACGCCAGGCCACGTGCCCTTGTGCGGCGCCATGAGGTTCTGGGAGAACCTGTGCGATGTCCACCTGTTACGGTACCCTTCTGCAATGAGGGCAGCCAGGTGGGAGCCGTCCAACACTGTGTCGAGTATCCCTGGGTTGGCCATGAGGTGCTCCAATTGTGGCTGGGCCCAAAGGGGAACTTCGAGGTTTTCTAGCACCTCCTTGACCTCGTCCTCCTCGCCTGGGATGCCATGGACCAGCTGGACTACAACCGAGTAGAAGGCTTCCTTTAAGTCGTAGCAGCTGATCATGGAGCACTTCCCTTGGGCCTGGCTTCTTTCTGTGAAGAGGCGCGCTGCTAGGACCGCCATGTCAGCCCCTAGCTTGGGCCGGCCGCCAACCTGGATGTCCTCCAGCGCTATGGCGAGGGTAGTGTTGAGCATAGCCCTCAGGTATTTATGGTGGTGCTTGCCCAGGACGTTGTTTAAGAGGATCTCGCGGTACGCTAGGAGGTACCGTGGGTCGCCTTTTCCTTTTGGGGATTGCGACCAGGTCCCCGCCCTTGAAGCTCAGCGGCTCCCGTACGGTGGTCGCCACCTTGGTGAAGAGGGGGTGCAGTAGCCCTGCTGCCTCTGTAGGAGCCGCCCTGAGGACGGCGTTCGTGAGCCCGTCAGGGCCTCCTTGCGTCCCAGCCTTGGCCGCAGCGAACTGGGCCTGGCAGACGGCCATGGGAATCACCATGGAGAGATCCAGCATGCCGTCGAAAGGCCTGGTCTTGCTGTCATGATTATACTTGTTGGCAAGATCATCCGCTGTCACGATCTTGCCCGCCTGTATCTTCGCGAAATGGTTGAGCTCCTGGTCCGCCATGTCCTGGGAGTTGTGGATCACCTCTCCATCCTTGTCGAGCCGCATCGGCTTTCCTGCTGGGAACTTCGCCTTCCTCCCGCCATACCTTAGTAGGTCGCGGTAGGCCTTCCACTGGGCCGCAGCGTCGTTCGCAGCGGAGGCGGAGGACGCAGCTGAGGCGTCCTTCTCGACGGCCGAGGCAACGAGGAGCCCAGACCTGCTGAGGAAGGAAAGGATGGCCATGGCGTAGACCATGGGCGAGATCGTCCAGTTCAGGAGGAGGTGCGCGTAGTCGTGGATGTCGTGGATGGTGCCATCGTCGTCGCCACGCTCTCTGCTCCACAGGGCCAGTGAGGCCCCGACCTCGCCTCCAAGAAGAGAGTGGGCGTGGGCTACTAGTCGTCCAGGTCGGTCGTCATGGGCTTCTCCTCTGAGCACTGCGCGATGGACTCGAAGTGCGAGGCGTCTGGCTCGGATTAGGCCCATGGTAGTCTTGGTGACGTAGGGCTTCCTCGCTGCCTTGACGGCCTTGCCGAAGGCCTGGATGGCCGCGTTGTTGACGACTCTGGTGACCTCCTCGCAGTGGGTGTTGACGTCCACCTCCCAGGGGATGATCGGGGCCTGCTTGAGAATCTCCTTAAAGCTGGCCTTGGCGACATCGTTGTTTAAGTTGGTCAGATCGGGCCGCGGTCCTGAGGCCTTGGTGGTCTTGCAGACGGCCCACTTGAGGGTGGCGAGTACTGGTATGTGGTATTGTGCAGCTGTGCCTCGGTCAAGACCTGGCTCCGTGCTGCAGCTCGCAACGTACGGGGCGATCGAGAAGCTCAGCAGGATGTAGTCTATCCTGCGGCGCTGCCCCTTCGATCCGATATGCGTAAACGAGTTGTTGCCTGGATCCTTCGTGGTGTTGATGACTTCCATGTCGGTGTCGGCTGCGAGCCTGATGATGTGCTTGCCATTGCCGTTGGTCGCTTCTGGGCACCCACTGGTGCCAACTCCTGGGGACTCGTAGTCGCCAAGACGCCCGTTCAGGTCCCCCATAAAGATGTCCACACGGTACTTGGCAGACAATCGCTGAGCAGACTCCCATGAATTCTCTCTTCTCAGCCGCATGGGAGTCTTCGTGGGGTGCAAATGCTGAGGCGATGACCATGTCTGTGCCTGCAACGCGGGTCTTGATGATCAAGAGCCTGTCGTGCTGGTGGAGGACGAGGGTGTCTTTGGCACTTAGGTACTTCGCTGCCCCACTCACGCTGATCGGCTGGGAGACGTTGAGCCAAATGTCGCATCCTCTGTTCTGCTGCGTGTGGCCTGAGGAGTAGCAAACATATTCTCCTACGTTGCGGACGTCTCCTTCGCTCTGCGTCGCCTGGAGGGCCCCGACGTGCAGGCCCATGTCAGCAAACTGTGCTGCTAGGTGCGTAACCTTGGAGATGCTCTGCTTGCTTTTGCCGGCCGCCTTGCCTTTGCCCGACTTGAAGCTGACGGCGGCCCTGAGTGATCTGCAGTTGTAGGTGCACAAATTCACGTTGAGGTCGGCCTTGATGGTGGTGGTGCTGATGGGCCTCTGGATCGCACATGGGGCTGCTTGCGGCTGAGTGGCCCCGATGATGAAGTCTTGGTTCCGCATGGGAGGGTATGCGGCCTTGACCGCATCTGGCGCTGAGCGTAACCATTCCCAGGAAAGGAACTTGTTGTGAGCGATCGCCTGCACTGCTGCAATATTTGGGTCCATCAGGTCGCTGGCCGAAGCTTGATCTGCTATCCCATCTGCGAGCTCGTTCCAAGGGTGGCCAATGTGCGAGTTAATGTGATGCCACTGAGTAGGTCGGGCTTGTTGGAGGAGGCCAGCAAGCGTGCGAATGGCGGCCCCCAACCTCGGATGTACATGGCATTGGGCTTCACCTTTGGCCAGGTTGATAACGTTGAGGGCGTCGGGCGTCACCTCGATGGGCGCGGCGGTGTCTTGACCAAGGGCCCACATTAGTGCCCAAAGTACTGCCGTGAGCTCAGCTGTGTATGCCGTCACCTTCTCGTTGTTTGCCATGTCGTCTAGGGACTCGGTGACCTTGCCAGCAATGAAACCCCGAAAGCCAAACGGGCCTCGTGAGTTGCGCCCGTCGTCGTACTCGTCGACAATAACTACTGCCCAGGCGGCTGTATGTGGGATGCCGTTGTAGCTGCCGTCCGTGTAGATGTGTGTGCGCCTAGTCGGCAGCTCGCGTGATGGGCACATCTCCAGCGCCAGCCTTGCCATGTTGTGTAGGGTCGTGGTGTCGACGTCGGCGCAGACATTGACGCGGCCTCGGCCCCGAAGGGTCTCGGCTACTGGGTCTTGGCTGAGAACTGGCAGCACTGCAGGTTGGCCTCTGTCTGGCGCTGCCGTGGTGGGGGGCTGCCGTTGCCTTCGGCCGCGCCTGGCCCTCTCAGCACTGACGTACTCGGGGGAGTACTCGACGTCATCGTCTGGCACAGGTTCCATGCCATGTAGAGTGGGACATTGTGTGCTGGTAATGCGGGCTGGAAGTGGCTGTGATGGCGCGGAGCGGGTAGGCGGGGCTAGAGGTAGGGCCCCAGCCTGAGGCGCACTCCGCTTCACGGGTAGTGGCGGTGGCAGTTGGCTCCCCTCATCGAAGTTCAAGTTGTCCGATCCAGCCCGCGCGGCCTGACTGAACAGGGGCTCGTGTGATTGGGCGTGGAGCATGCTGTCACGTAGACGATGAGGTTCGCCATCCAGGGCGTCTGGGTGATTGGTGGCACCCGTGCCGTGGTGGGAGCGAGCTGATGCCGAGGGGAGCGTTGGCTTCCACCTGTTTGGCCGTGGTGAGCTGTTTGGGTCCGTCGGGACTGGGGCCACTGGTGATGCTGGGTAAGCTTGAATGTCGCTGGGCCTGGTTGGACACCCCAACACGACATCGCTGGCGCGAGGGCACGGCTTCGACCACCCTCCCGTCGGAGGCATGCCCTCACGCCTACGCACCTGTAAGGGGGATTGATCCCGCAGCTGCTCTACCCGCTGGGGAGCAGGTCCGCCCGTCGGCGGCCTTACAGTGTGAGGCGACCCCGCGCTAGCGCGCCAGCTTGGGCAGGCCCTAGTAGGCACTGTGTGCTGCTCGGGCTCAGCTAGGTCTTCAGGTTGCCCAGTTGGTGGGTGTTGGGGCTTGGTGCGCTGGGCTGGCGTAAGGGTGCCGGTTGGGGCATGATTGGCTTCTACATTAGGCAGTGCTGTGGCCGTGGGTGGGATGCTGTCTGTGCTGCTGCTGGGTGGTGGCCGAGTCGTTGGTCTCCACCCTGTGCTACTGCCACTGTAGCTGCTGTTGGGGTCCTGCCTCGAGTGCCCTTGGACGAAGCCACTGGCCTGGGAGCAAGGAATCGACCACCCTCCCGACGGAGGCTTGCTGCCAGGCCTTCGCACCTGCAAAGGGGAACGCTCCCGCATCTGCTCGTCTCTGTGGGGGGCAGATCCGCTCGTCAGCGGCCTTGCAATGTGAAGTGACCCCGTGCATAACCGCCAGGTTGGGCTGCCTTCTTGACCACTTGATTGCTGCTGGTCGCTGACGCTGCTGGCTCGGGTGCGGGCGCTGTGTCCCTGATCCACCACCAGGGCTCGGTACTTATTGTGGGTGCTGCTGTCGTCCCGACGACTGTGGCTCTCCGCAGCGCGCCGTGCACGGCGTGCTCGCCGCTGGGCTGATCGGAAGGCTGCGACTGCGCGCGCTTGCTTCCACTCCTCGTAACATTGCTCCGTGTCGTCCTCGGCCTCGCTGCCACTCGAGTTTTGTCCGTCGAGAAAGGTCCTTTCCACATTCTCGATCTCGTGGACTCGGATGGCGGAGGGGGACGTGCTGTGTGCAAGGGCAGCCGGTAACGCATCCTTGCGGCCATCTTGGTGGCTTGTGACCTGAAGTGCTGACAGATTGGTGGATGCATCACTCCTCCCTGGTAGTGTGCCTCCTTGGCTGCTGCCTAGCGCCCCTCGAGACGCGGCGGGCAGCCCTCGTGTCGGCCGTGGTGGTGTCACGTTGGCCCCTCGAGACCCAGGTGACTGATACCGCTGTTGTTGCTGGCTGCTGCGATTGGGAGTAGCCCTCCCACTGCCAATGCCAGTTGCGGTAACGCGTCTGCTTGGAGTCGTGGCCCCTCGGGACCCTGGACTCCTGGGAGTATCTGCTCTGGTGTGTGAGACTGTCGCAGTCTCTGCTGGTCTATGTGTTACTAGACGGCTGTCACAAATTACCCCAAGGCCCGCCGTGCTTTCAGGCCTCTGGTGGTGGGTAGGTCGAGCATCGTAATGGAGGACCCCACTGCCGTGCTGCGGGCTTTGGGCCCCAGCTGCTCTCCCCAATGCTGCACAGGAGATCGATGCTGTCGAACTGATCGGAGAGCGTGAAGGAAGCCCACATCCGTCGTGCTCTGCCCTGTCGGACTCATCGGCCGCCTCCTGGCCGTGAATTCTGTCATGCATGACCTGATGCCTGGCGGCGCTGCTAGGCCCCCTCCCCCCCTCGGGGGGGTTCGGCGGGCGCTGCTGCTGCCTGCTCCTCGGCTCCAGGAGTTGCAGGAGGGGAGGGGGTTGCTGTGCCCCTTGTCTCGTCCCTCCTGCGGGCCACTCGGCCACGAAAACGTGCTATGCCTGACTCTCCAGAGTCTACCCGCTGACCCTTGTGGGCCTGGCTGACGTCTTCTCCTGGAAACGCGGGCGCGGGTCCAAACGCCTCGTCAAGGGCTGCAGCTGCGGCGGCGGCTGAGGTGTGCTGGCGCGTTAGGATGTCGATGCCCTCGTACTGCCTCTCGATGCTGGCTGCTGCCGCCTCCGCGCTCTGCTGGGATGCAGGGGGAGGGGTCAATACGAAGCTGTCGGCTCCCTCTCCACCTCCTTGGCCGCGCTGCTCATCATGCCCGAATGGAACTGTGGGCGTGAGTGACCTCTCGCTGAGTGGCGCTGGCGATGCTGGGATGAAGATCACCTGAGATGCTGTCGGAGTAGGAGGGTCGCCTTGCTCTGCTGGTACCGAGCTAGCCCTTGACGTGGATGCCAGGTCTGTGTCTGCCTCGTGCTGCGTGACCCCCCTCATCTCATCGCCCTCCTCGGGTGCGGGGTGATCCTGGCTCCAGGGCGGCCAGCTGGCGGGGTAGATCATCGGCGCGTGCTCCGAGCCGTCGTCCTCCACTTGGGAGTCCTGTGAGCCCACAGTGCCGAACTGGGTCAAGGGGGCCTCTTCGTAGTAGCGCCTTTGGATCTCCTCCGCCTCGTGGTCCCTCGCTGCGGACTCCAGCTCCTCCTCCATCTGTACGGCTTCCCATAGTGCTTTCTCCTCAGCGTCTTGTCTGCGCAAATCATCTTGTTCGCGCTCGTATCTTTCTGCCTCCTCATGCGGGTCTGGCCTGTCGGGGCTCCTGGACCTGTCACGCTCTCTGGGGGGGGGCATCGCCTTCGTCGGTCTGGCGGGCTGCTGATCTGGCTGACCTGGTTGATGCTGGCCTCCGAGGCGAGGAGCTGCCCTGCCTACGGCCCCTATTGGCTCGGCGCTCCTCGGCTGCACCAGTTGGGAGAGTGGTCGCAACGGGGGGCTCCGCTGGGGCGGTAGCTGCCTCGGCTGCTCCTCTGGTTGTCTCGTACAGGTCGGCGGCCTCCTGGTAGTCGTCCATGGACTCTTGGGACGTTGGGAGGTGGCCCCCTTGGACGAGGTGATGAGCTGCCCTCTTGGTGAAGTCGTAGCCCTCCTGCCCGTATTGCCTCATCCCGGCGTACAGGCTGACCATGGCTTTGCGTTCACGTTCCCTGCTGGCTGTAATGGCTTCCAGGCTCTGCATTCTCAGCTTTAACTCCTCTGTCTCCGACGCGCCCTGCTGCCCCTTCGTTGCGATGGCGTCGAGCTCGGTGTGTAGCGTGCGGGAGCGCTGGAGGCTTTCTTGCAGCGCGAGGTAAATGGCCTCCTCCCTGCCCGTCCTCTGCTGGCTGGCAAAGTCTTCCATGGCGGAGGCCTCCTCCATGCTGGCGATCCTGAAGGTGAGGGCTTGGGCGAGCTCCTCCTCCAGCGCCTGCTCCTGCACCGCTGCGTTGGACCTCTGCTCGCTCAGCTGCACCGCGTAGCTGCTCAGTTCCTGTCGCAGGCTCTCTGCGTGCAGCTGCAAGTCATGTGCGTTCGCTTCTTCAATCATGACTTGGCGGGTGAGACTCGACCTTATCCGCTCAGCACTGCCTTCGAGCTCCGCCCGCATTGCCTCCTTGTCCTTCAGGCTGGCCTTCGCAATCTCCTCCTCCTCTGCTCTAGTCCTTAGCAGGGCGAACTACAATGCCTGCACCTCGTGCGGGATCTGCCGCTCCTCGTTGGTGCTTCGCAACTCCGCTGCTTCGTGGTAGGCGACCTGTACTGCACGCTGCACAGCGCCCGCCTCAAGCTTGGAGTACTGCTGGAGCTCGTGCATGCGGGCTTCAGCTGCCTCGGGCTCGCTTTTGGTCTGCTTGAGCCGATCCTGCTGCCGTGCTGCTGTCTGGACGATCCCTTGCAGCCTGGCCGCTTCTGCCGGCGGGAGGGCTCCTTTTCCCTTGGCATTGGCAACCACTTGGGCCTGGGCAATTGCCTGGACCCTGGCTGATTCGGCGGCAGCTTCAAGCTCAAGGGCGTGGTTCTTTTTGGCCTCCTGTAGCTTCTCTTCCATGACCAGCTCCTGCCTGGTGAGCTGGTGCTTGAGAGTGCCAGCTGTAGCTGTCGCTCGGGCGCTCTCGTGCTGGGCCTGTCGCAATGCCTCTTGCGCCTCGGCGCTTGCCCGCAGTAGGTCTTGGTAGACCCTGTCCTGGGGCTGCGGCTGCGCTCGGTGCCCCGCGCGGGCATACTCAAGCTGCTCTCGCAGGTGATTTGCACGTTGGGTCGCCGCCTCGGCCTCAGCCTTGGCTTGACTGAAAGCTGCATCATGGCTGATTATCCTGGCCTCCATCTGCGTCGCGAACTCGAGCTGCTCGGCTTGTTGCTTCTTGATCTCGTGGCGGAGAGCCTTGTGTTGCTGCTGCTGCTGCTGCTGGGCTGCGCTCTCCGCTACGGTGGTGCGCTGCAGCTGCTCTGACTCCTCCTTGAGGGCCAGCCTGAGCTTCGCCTGCTCGGCGTTGTGGCGGAGTGCCTGCTCGCGGGCGACCCTCCAGACTTCCGCCAGCTCGGCAGCAAACTCCTGCTCGGCTTCGGCATGGCGCTGCTGTTGGTGGGCCCGCTCCGCATTCGCCTTAGCCACCTGATCGGCGAAGCCTCTGGTTGCGCTGCCTGCCGAGCTGGCTCTTGAGCGTGGCGAGCGCCCCACCACTCCCGCTG